TATCTGAATTTTTACTCAAGTTACAGCTTGCACGGACGGACGGACAGACGGACGGACGGACAGACAGACATCCGGATCTTAACTCTACTCGTCACCCTAATATATAATATATATAAATAATAATATAATATTTGCAAAATGTTATCCGTTTCCATAAGTAATCGACTGTTTACTGAAGAATTTATTCGGTGCGGCCGAAAAAGTGATAAGTTCACACAGTTTTTGAGAGATAAATTCCCTTCTTTTAGTGAAGATAAGGTGAAGTTAATTTTAGAACAAATTAAAAAAAGGTACCTAAGTTCATTCAGTTCAAAATGGAACCAGTGCCACAGGAAAATTAAAACGTACTATTTAAAAATCTTTTTGTATGGCTGGATAAGAATTTTACTGCTGAGATGGTTGATAAATTATTACCCGGGACTTCAAATAAACGTAGTTTAATTGCTGGACGCCCGGTAAAGAAATTTGAAGAATGTAGTCAACGGACTAAACGTTACAAGGTCCAACAACTTCGAGATAAGTACTCTGAAAAAGAATTAAAGGTCACAGCTGGATCAGCAGCTATTAAGAAGACATATTTAGATTCTCAAAAAGCGTTGACGATGTTAATTGATGCACAGTTATCAAAGCATCAGTATGAAGTTGTTCGAATATGCTTAAAGACTTCGGATGTGATGAGTTGCCACCGTATTATAGAGTTCGGGAGGAAAAAAGGCATTGTTACCCTGAAAATATTACTATTACACCAATATCTGCAAAGTTTACTTGATCACACAGATAAAATAATTATTTTGGCCGCCGAGAACTTCACAAATCTAGCTCATATTCCAGAAATAATGACTAACATCGAAATGGAGTTGTGACGGTTCGTCAAATCAAAGTCAATACCACCAGTTCATACCTAACAAATTTGATGGTATATCTGATGCAAATTTATTTATGGTATCTATGGTGTCTTTAGTGCTTAAAACTATAGACGAAACAGACACGTTATGGAAGAATTTTAGGCATTATTTCACAAAGTTTTGTCGGCTGATTCAATTTGAATATCCCAAGGAAACCGCAAACCAAACTAAAATTGTCGAAAGGATACAGAAAACCATAAGCAACATATTGCCAACRTTTGTGACTATAAAGGACAAGGTTATTATAATTTAACTTTTAAAAGGTGGTCTACTAATGCGGAAACCAAGCCACTTAAAGAAGAAAGCAAGAAAAGTATTCAGAATTACGCCAAAGATTGGGTATTAGGGTTGATCATGTTCAACAGGGATTAAGTACAACAAATACTGGAAATACGTCTAGAAAATTTTTTTCAAAATCCCGAGGTAGTTTCAGAGGTAACTGGGGTTGCCCTGGAATTAATCAAACGACTGACTATAATACTTGAAGTAATTGCTTGCGGTGAGAGCATAGACCCAGTAAAATATGGAAAGTATCCTTTAGATACGGCTAGACTATTTGTTGGGACGTATAACTGGTATTATATGCCAGTGACAATACATAAAATGCTGGTACATGGCGAAAGTATAATTARAAGTTCTTTTCTCCCTATYGGTAATCTTTCTGAAGAGGCGCAAGAGGCTCGTAACAAGGATTCTAGAAACTATCGCCTTCGTTACGCAAGGAAATGCAGTCGAACTTCAAATAACGAAGATATTTTAAAGAGACTGTAAGTTACTTCTGATCCACTTTTATCAAGTGTAAGAGTTACAACTGTAATAAAACACATAGATCTAACAGAAGCAAAAGGACTACTTTTAAGTTAAATCTCAAACTTAGTAAATGAGAACGTATTATTTTTATAATCTTATATTTGTTTATTATTATCTGTTATCATTTTGTTCAACTATGACTTTAATTTTTTATTACATTTAAGTATTCATTACTATTCATTATAATCAACATAAAATATAAAATGAGAGCGATTAGATAGTGTTAAGTAAATATTTAATATTATATATCGTAAATATTCTCTGATAAATATTAGTAAATAACAGTTATTACTAATTCTTTTTCTATAGCCATTTTCTTGCCATGAAAAGTACTATGTGTAAGATATTCCTGTTAAAACAGGTTATATAATGTCCCAAAAAAATTTTAATACTCTGTATAATTAAATTATTAAAAATTTAAAAAATCAACTGGTTACTTAATTTTTCATTTTACTTTTTCAACTCGTCTCGCTCATCTTGGGCGAGCCAACCTCTACTACAAAAGGCTATAGGCTCGCTATATCTTTTCACCAACTTCTGAGATCTAAGAAGTCACACTTATCAATAAAATTTATATAAGCAAGCAGTTTCAAAATAAGTACAACATTTTTGCCGAAAAATGCCRTTTCTGACCCATTGTGCGCCACTAGTAAAGCTATCTGAGCGACTTATGTCTCCAGAAGTGCAAGTTAAACATCTGGGACTACTCATGGTGAGCAATCGACTTGCAGGGAAATCCTGCTGCTACAAGCACACATGATCGTGTGACCGATTTTTATGTATGGTGCGGTGACTTGGGCTTCAAAAGAATCGGAGACTTCGGTAGGACTTCAACTGCAGCAACTTGCATGGAGGTCATGCTAGAACTTACTCCGTTTCACATAGTAATAAATCAAGCAGTTAAACATACAATGCTTCAAATGATAAAAGAAGGGTGTGGTAGAGGAAGGGTAATCTCGTCTCGTCAAATGAAAGCATGAAATACCACTATCTAACGAAATGATAAAAGTCGCCATACCTATGGGAAGTTTTCCAAGCATTTTCCCAGCAGAAGTCTACAAGTCGATGTGTAGCGATAAACGTTCTGCGCAACTTTCGCAACCAAAGTAGTATGGCGATACRGCGAAAGCCCAGCAGCATTTAAAGGGATTTCTGCTTATGAGATTAAGGCCGAACAGCTTATAAGTTCGTAACTGAATGCACCCTATCTGAGTGCAAGATCACGGGGATATAGCAGGGAAAGAACTGGCTGATGAGCCCGTGACCCGTATTGCATCTTCTACTATAGTGGTCGGACCAAAACTCTGTGTGGCGGTAGAACCTTATGCCATGAGGGAGCTGGTCCGTAAGGAGAAACTGGTAGATAGGGAGAAGTATTAGCAACAACTCCACTGCATGCGTCATGCAAACTTGCTAATGSGTGGTTACAACCTCAGAAGGTTTGAAAACGTACTTTCTACGCTGGCCATAGTAAGCTCAAGAAGCACTTATTCAACATGTGCTCATAAGAGCATAATTTCAAGTTTATGATTTTCATATTCATTTCTGAGCAAGATTCCATAACAATCCGAAAGCCGGGGCAATAGTGAGGAATTTTTGTTGTTGTTGTTATAACGATTATCTAGTCCCGCTTATTTCAGACCATAGGGAGAGGAGTGTTAGATGAGTGAACTTCGCTGAAAATGAAAAGAGATGAGTAAACATTAGTTTAACCAGCTACAGTACCCAGAACGAAGATGTGAAGTTGTTTCTATAGATTCTCGGTCAACTCGAGCTTTTCGTTTCTAAGTACATCACTCACTGACAGGGAGTAGGCGAAGATATTTATAATTCTACTGTGATCTTTTTGCGAAAACATCCAAGCAGCTTGGAGAGGAGCTCATTATATTCCTTAACGGAAAGAAACGCGGACCTCGCTGAGCAAATGTTCCACCAGACTCATCCTACAACTTGACATGTYTGAAGTTTCCTCCTCTACATTTTAAGGATGCTATTATGTTCATGGTCAGCCAGCCTCAAATGGTGATCACTTATGGGGAAAAGAGAATTATTGGACGAAAAGACTGATGTTTGGTAAAGAGGGTTTCTATGGAAGTGGCATTATAAAATTATCCACCAATCAGGGTTGTTGTGGGATTTAGGATAGATTTGCATAATTGTCARAATTGCAAACCCATTCAAATTTTCAACGGTGTTACAGAATCTGAATGCAATAATATATGAATTTATGACACCTCCGACAACTATTGGATGCTACAACACCCTTGAATAAGTTATCGAACAAAACGGTGCATATGCAATGAATTATATTATGACCTTAAATGTTTGGGAAATATTATAAATTTAAGCAGGAACCGAAACCCCTCTTTCGGCTTTAAGCCCCCGCAGAAGCTCAGTATTTTAAATTGCTCAAGTATTTACTTTCGGCTAGTTTGCTATGTTAAGATATGTTAATAATTTAGTTTGAAACCTTATTAGATTCAAAGTAACAGCTATCGAATGGTACAACTGCGTTCTAAAATTCATAACAATACTAATTTTTATACATACATACATATTATATGTTCTGATTTATCACAAACAATTTTTCATTACGCCAAGTGCAAATGTCTACAAAACACCTAATTACTTGGCAAAATTAACATAAAAAGTTGCTTGCAATGTTCGCTTCACTGCTGACATACTTACATTCGTATACCTACATACATATGTATCAAGATAATTAGCATAGTGCAAATTGAGTTTTGTAGCACGGCTGTCTCTCTAGAAAAAGCTTAAAGAATATAAAGACATATATACTTGAGAATATATGTGCGCTAGTTCAAGTGTGGACAATAATAAGCGGCAAGAAATGACACCATAGTGAAATGAAGCGCAAAACCGGTTAACATTGCGCCCTTCAAAAGACAGGTTAAGCTGGTATTGAAGTCACGAGACGTCGCTTTACCTTTGTACTTTGCAGCTTCAAAAGCGTTAAAGTCAATCGTGAGCAGAAAGAGCGAATATGTGGGTGCATTGACCGGTTGGTCTGTTGATGTGCCAAAATTGGACTTTCGAATGCCTGTGTCTGTCTGAATATATTGAATTCAATTATTATTGATTAGCAGCTTTATGCGATTTGAAATGAACTGATGACCAACTTTCTATTTCCCCCTCTACAAAACTAAGAAAACTTGTTTGTATGTTTTAAAATTTAATTATGCTGATGAATCATAAAATGTTAGTACAATGTAATAAATGCAATTTTTCGTTTCTGCAATAAGGAATTATCGACTATTGCGAAAWTTCTATCGTGAATTTTGAAAGTGTTTGGAAACATTCAAAAGTTTATTGTATTTTAATTATTTAAACTTTTAACTTTGCTTTTGTTTTCATTTCTTTATAACACTAATAAAATTGCTTTTCAATCTCTTAATAGTATATATATGTATATATTCAACTTTTGCAATATGCAAATGTTAACATTAATCTCGCCAACTACTTTTACGGGCCTTCAGCTAACTCAGTACTTGACATCTCCACGTTGTACCACATGCAAGTTTGTGTTTGTGTATGTATATGTTTTGGCTGCGCTAACTTATTTAATCGGTAGCATCAGTCTTTGCCACGGCGAATGGCTCATCCACGGGTATGGAACCACTGTTGGCGATCACAACATCTTTAACTGGGCGATCACGTCCATCAGTTTCGTAACTCTCAATTTTGCGTACAACGTTCATGCCGGATAAAACTTTGCCGAAAACGACATGACGTCCATCCAACCAGGAAGTTGGTTTTGTGGTAATGAAGAACTGTGAACCATTGGTGTCCTTGCCAGCATTGGCCATACTCAACCAACCAGCACCATAATGCTTCAGCTTGAAGTTCTCATCGGGGAAACGTTCACCGTAGATGGAGCGACCGCCAGTGCCATCACCTTTGGTGAAATCACCACCTTGGATCATGAAGTCCTTAATGACGCGATGGAATTTGCTGCCCTTGTAGCTGCAAAGCGAATAAAAGAGATAAATGAAATTAAGTACTTTAGTTTATGATTTTCATTAAAAGTAAACATATTATTATGTATTGCATATGTACCATAAGCAGGTATCTCATAAACAAAAGTAATATCATCTGGTACTGTGTGTTTACACACACACAAAATAGGCATGTTTATATGTACAGTTCTCATATGCAGTTGCCGTAGTTTCGATTATGTTGCCCTCTTTATTCTTACTTACACTATTTACTACAATAATAGAGCAATAAAAATGTAGAATTTTTATACTTGTAGTTTGTATTACAAAAGCTGCGAGTGCCCGGCTGACCCAATGGCCGGGTAATATTGCTTGGCGCTTTTTTATATTTTTAGTACAATCGTTTTTATTGTGCCTAGCGTATCCACATTAATTCAATTCAGCGCTCAATTATTGTTTGCAAACATCAATTGCCTCCCATCTGCATGTATATATTAAGTCTATGCCTATGATCACATCATATTCGCATTGCTAAGCCAATTAGCTGAGTGGCCAGCAACAACGCACAAGTTCTACACACTACTACTAACTTTAAATTATTTAAAGTGAGTAAATTTATTTTCTTATTYACTTTTAGTGGGAGTAATAGTTGTTTGACCCCATTACAAGAAAATGCTCTGGCACGACGTGATTGAAATACTGATAAACTGCATCATCACAGGCTTGGATTTGCTATGAAGTAGGCATTACGCTGGGGTTACTTAACTGACAAGAAAAAAAAGGTTACCCAAATCAAATTGGTATGGCAGCTACATACATATTCTTCATATAAAAAAATCAAATATTGACATCAGTCAATGGTATTCTTTTATTAGTTTACTGATAAGCAACTGTTATGTTCTCAATAAAGAATAAAAAAAAAGTATTTTATTTTTATTTTTGTACAATTTAAACGTGAACAGGCCAAACCTAATTAGACTTTTCGACAAAGCTTCTATCCATATGGTTTTACTTATATCATATGTGCAAGAAGTTTTGGGAGATAAGTCACTAAAAATTATACCATGCTATACTAGCATAAATTTTGATTGTTACAAGTGCAATAATTTTCCAGATTTCTCCACATTCTCAAACATGTAAACTATACATATTTGTATATATGTATGTATGTAAGTTAAAATTACTTGGAATATTTGTTGTAAGTAAAATTAGATGCGCCAAAACATTGTCACATGCAAGGTCAGCAGAACTTACAACAATTTTATACCTTTTTATTTCTATACTAAATAAGCGGTTGGAAACATAACCTCACTAAAAGTAATAAGAACATGAAATGAACTGCAATCATCCCCGTACGAATAAATTGCTAGTAGGTTTTAGCAAAATAATATGTACATATATGCAAAAGAGGGCTAAAATTGTTTATGCACTGCTCTAGCTTATATGTGTACATCTGTTTCAAAGCACACTTACCCTTCGCCTTCTGGCTTCTCAGCTAATTCTTTGAAATTGCGGGCGGTTTTCTCCACGGTTTTGCCGAAAAGACCGATCTCAATGCGTCCAGCAGGTTCACCACCAATGGTGATGTCAAAGAACACCTAAACAATCAAATTGAATATATAAGTATGCATGTATGTACATATGTATATATGTTTAACATGTATAATAATATTTGCACAGCAAAGAACCCGGTTAACAAAAACGCAACAATGGAAATACGGTAGAAAGTAAACTAAAAAATGAACTGAAGATGAAAGAAACTTAAATGTATGCCAAGTGAGGCAAAACATTATATTCAAACAATATTAAATAAAAAGTTGTATGTACATACATATGTCCATAGTATGTATGTATATTAAATGCACAATGAACGCATTGTTTGGCAACACGGGGGCGTTTATTATTTAAGATTAAATTAAATACTTACCTTATCGGTTACTTTGGGTCCTTTGCTTTCATCAGCCACCACAATGCCGGCCGCAAGCGCCACCAGACATAATCCCAAATACAGCTTCATCGTACGGTTTCCGGTACGCAAAACACAGTCTATAGATTTTCACAAATTTGATTTTCTTTGACTTATTTCCAAAAACACCTCCGATGTCGTCAGCAGTTGGCGATTAAATGAACAGGCAGCTGATGTCAATAGTCACCACTACCGCTACTATACGCTTTGTTGGTACTGCCCTTGCTACTTGAATGTGGAATCTTCGGGCGAAGATATGCACATACACACAAATTTACGTGTTACAGCGTAATAAAACAATTGGTCTCAGAGATTCTTTCTTTCTTCGTGCCCGTGGAATAGGGAAACGACACGTCGCCAGAAGTGTTAAGAAAATGATTCAAAACGGAATCGCAAAAAATTGATAAACAATAATTTTGATGTTCTTGCTAGCATATTCTTCGTAGTGTTGTTGTTGTTCATTATTAGCGATGAGCTCTTAATTGTATGTTTGGATATAAAGGTGATATATTTTTTAATCTGTTATAACATATTAAAAATGTTGCAAATCAAATGTCTCAATCTTATATTAGCAATCTGAAATAGTTATATCTAAAATAAATGTGGCTAGAATCTAAAATAAACAAATTATGCTCCAGTTAGATTGTTCAAAATAATCAACGTGAAAACACTATATAATGTTTTGTTTTCGGCACATACCGATTAATCGATAATCGTATGTTACATAACTAAGTGACAGTTAACCGCGCTAAATTTTGATAATTTGCCGCGTATTTTAACTTCCCGTGGATTTTCGAATTGTAATAATTTAATAGTGTTTTCTTTTGTATAAAAGTGAATATTAATTTACCAAAAGTTGGAAAATGTTTGAGTAAAATGTTTTGTGACTGTATTCGTGGAGCTAGTGATAGTTACCAGCGCCAAATTATAAGGCTTCTTCGTGTTTAGTTTCCTGTGTTATTTTAACTTCCCGTGTTATTTTTAAAATAAATTTTTAAAGTTAATTCATATTTTGTTTTAAAAGTGAATAAATTTAGAAAATAGGTGAGAAATGTGTTAAGTGATCGTATTGGTAAAAATACTGTATGTGTTAAACGCCGTAGTGTTGTGAATTAAGCTTATCGGATTACTTAGAAAGCCGTTGCAATTGATTATTGAAATATGAAGGAAAATCAAACGAATAAAATAAATTGGGTATGTATTGAATATATTTTATTTGTAACAAAAATATCCTTTCCTGATAACATGATATATAGATTAATAATGGCATAGGCGTCCGGCGTTATTTTTCATTTTAAATAAAAAAAGCTAGGAAAATAGTAAATTGTATCTTTTCCTTTGAGAAAATGGAAATTGACTATTATATTCACGATTTTAACATAAAATTCCATCCGTAGATTCTCCACTTTCACTTATGTACCCTTATCCGGTTTTTGTAAGATCTTTCAATAGCTCTTTCCTCATTGAAGGATAAATGCGAATTAGAAAAGGTGAATATAATAAGTTTGCTATAAATATATAGTAGTTGAATGCGTTAGCCTTCGCCCTTTCGTATTTCCCTTCCCACGACCGTCAAGTTACCCGACGGGACGCGTTTTCCTATCCGGCAAAAGACTGTCAACTCAGCACCATGTCTCGAAATAACTGTAGGAATGTTTTCTGCAGCTCCTACAAAAGGAGTCCTCTCGCATAAAACACTCAGTTGTTTTATTACTTAACTTTTGTATTTATTATTTGTTTTAGTACTTAGCCGAAAGGTTATATATATATATGTATTATTGTTGTTATTGTTAAATATACTATACATGTAAACTTTTGTAAATTTTTACATACATACGTTAACAAGCTACAGCTATACACAGTATAAATACAGTTAAAAATTTTATACTTATGATATCTACACAATGAGATTACTAAGGATGAACTTATTAGAATTTCAATTAACTATGTTTTCAATGCTGAAAATTTATAAAAGAAAATAAAATGCAAAATTTATTAATAAAAAATATATATATTTGTATTTAAAAAATACTTGAGTATAGCGAATTTGCAACTGTTACGTTTTCGGTAATATCACAATTAGTAATAAAGGTTTATTTACAGAACGGATGCAAATTGTTTGCATGTTCATCTTATTTGAACGAAAAAGAATATTAAATAACTAGCAGTTCACATGTTAGTCACTACATTAAAGGGAAATTCATTTTTTGTGCGATTCATATTTAATTTTTCCCCTTTTAATAAGAATTCAAATCAAACTCGAAAATACAGCCATAGTTTTGATGAATTTCATAGTGAGCTATTTAGAATTAAAAGCGTTTTCAGAAAACGTCTTTTTCTGCATCAGAAAAGTAACAGCTTCTCTCTATATTATACATGTAATATTCACTTATTTGTAATGTGAGCATAATTACTGGAAGATAGTTCAGTCATTGCTGCTAATTAGCGATTCCTGCTGTTCCTCATCGTTAATCCTATTCGAAAAATATTGAATAATGTTTTATATTTCCATAACAATAAAAATTCAACTACCAACCTGACTATATTTGGCTTACGACAGCGACACAATTTCCTATAAATCGCTTTGAATAGCCTCATTAAGGGATCGGAGTCGTCATTGCGCATTAACAATGCCACCAACATTAGCGCCAAAAATATCGGTATTGAACCAATATAAAACATAGGAGAGTATGGTTTTCGCTTCAAAACGACATCAAATACTATGGAGAGTGGTATTTGAAGCGACATGGCAATGGTGCCAATTAGTGAAGAAGTAAGGAAGCAGCCCCTGTGATAAAAACAAATTTATCGTTATATTTCAAAAATGCGTGAGAGTGTAAAAATCAGCACATACCATAACCAAAGCGCTTCTGAGATCACAGTACCAACTAAACCATTTAAAAATAGTATAGCAAATTGATTTTGATTTGGCAGCTCAAATTGCTCAATTTTAAGAAAATGCAATATAAAGAATATTGGCCACATAAGTAGAAGATTCCAAAGACCAACGAAACCTGTTAATGTGAAATATAATTTAGTTTGTTTGTAGTATGTATGTATGTATGTATGTAAGCATTTATATTTTCCTTAAAATTACCAAAAAATAGTGGAATGTCAACTTTTTCCTCAGTATCGCTTTTTCGCTTCACGAAAACTAAATAAGCGGCATAGAAGAAAGCACTAAAAAGCGCTAAGAGTGCACCGCGCGAAAATCTTGCGTCATGTATATCGGAAATGGTGACGGTGACCTATAAAAAGACATTTTGCTTAAAACAGCCTTAGTTATTTTCATACTACCATATATACTCACAATTCCACCCATATTCATTGCGACTGCAATAATTTTGGTTATTGTAAATTTGTCACCCACAGCAGAAGGGAAAAACGCCGCCAGCACAAGTGTAAATAAAGAGGATGAAGAGCTCAGCAAAGTGACCATGGCGGTTTCACCCAGCTCTAACGATAGTTGGAAAAAATAGTTTGCAACAAACCACTGAAATAGATATAAGGTTGGCAAAGTTTAAAACGATGTTTGAAAAATATTTCAAATAAAAGTTACCAGCACACAGAAGAGTAATGCTGTTTTGGCGGTCTTATGATGTGATTTTTGTCTGTGTATGCGTATGCTTGCTGCATAGGAGAGTCGTGCCATTAACGCCTCCGTTGCCTCATGAGCGGACATCTCACGTACCTCAGCCAATTTGCTGAAACGTACACTGCGTATGCTGGAATCATCGCTCTCGGTACCAGATATGGCACCGCTAGAACGTATGGGAATAAAGGTGGGGTCACTCTGCAAGAGAAAAACCAAAATTTATTACAAGTGACAATTGTTTGTCATAAGTGTTTGTGTTGCTTACCAGTGATGGATTGGTTGAGTAATAATTTTCGTCATCAGCTACTTGATCCATAACCTATAATAATATTTTTTTTATTAGTGAAATTCTGATTGTAATATGTAAATATTTTTCATTGAAGTATTTGTGATATGTAAATTTAAAACTGTGAAATAATTGGGGGGAATGCTGTCTCGGTGTTTGTCCTTGACATAAAGAGTTTTTTAAATAAATTAAATTATATTTGCGCGGGTGGCAGTCCTTGATATGTTTTAAATTCGTGATATTTGAAGTAGTCTCAACGATTTTAAAATAAAATTGTGGTTCTCGTTTTACTCTTCAGTGTTTTTAAAAAGCCAATATACATATAAACTTACCGAGTAGCTACCATTTTGGCGTTCACAAGATTCACGCCAGGGCGTCACCAATCCGATTACAACCAAGTAGATTGCAAACATTGAAGTTTTAAAGTATGTGCAAAAGAATGGCTTATCGAATTTTTCATTTTCGTAGAGAAACTGAAAGCAGTTAACAAAAAGTTTTTAAGCAAAACAGTTATAATTTCAATTGTGCATTTTATTATATATTTACCTTTGTAAGTTCACTAGAGGATACCCAAATCACATCGACCAGCAACAATATTACGATGCCAAGTATGAGCTTTTGTGTTTTGCTTAACATTTTACTGTTTACACGGCAGACGTCGGTGACGGTGCGGCGTCGTTTAGCCGGCGCGTAACGAGTGACGACACGCTCGTTCAACTTTTGACCCAAATTTGTCACTCTCAGTCTCCTGTGTGCGCCGTCTACGCTGTGGATGATGGCAGCAGATGACAGAGTGTCCGTAAACTTTTGTTTATTTTGGATTGTATTTTTATAGTTTTAGCACGCACTTTATTTTGTCTATTTTATGTTTTTTTTTTTTTATGTTTAGAGATATTGTGTTTCTTTCGATTTCGTGCTTTAATTCAGTTCTTTGTGTTTTTTCTTTCTTTTTGTTAACCAATTGTATTTAAACGCCAGTGTTTTAGCTTCATTTTTGAATTTGGCTCGTGGCGTCTCTTTTTCATTGCATGTAGCTTTTATTTCAACACTGAGTCGTTTGCTTTAATTCATTGACATAATTAAAGGGCTCTGTTGGCGCCAAATGCTGCACCGCAACACATTGTAAATTAAGTGCAATTTGTTGTTAGCGGGCAACTGCAAAAGTGGAGTCGACTAAAAAATAGAGGGGAGAAAAAGACATTAGAGTAAGTTGGTTTTTTTACAAATAAAAAATTAAGCGCTAATATTTAAAACGGTTGTTCTTGGAGAGATTACATTTTAATTGTATTATAATTCTTTTTATAGTCTGTAATATAGAATGTATCAAACCCTTCGGCGTATATAGTACATAACCATTTGATCTGTGTCTTCAACTGCCAAAGGCAGTAAATATTTAATATGAATTTGACATACAAATTACGTGTTCA